TTATTTGGTTAGGGTCTGGCTCGGCTGATGTCTCTCTTCACACCAACTCATTTTGATAACGGAAAGCCTAAAGTTAAACGCGTTTTTACACGAGTGTTACGCCTGGTGCGTAGTAAGCAAATATGAGTGCACAATCATGCATATTATTGTTGCATGTTCATTTGCAGCACAATTCAGGAAACCGGCAATTAACACATGTAGATTATTCTCATGTTGGTTTGACTGTGGCGTTTGAGCGCATTGCTTTTGAGCAATTTTGCATGAGCCTTCACCCGATTTTCAGAACTGAACTGGTGCATTTCATTGCTTACTTAAGGCCTTGATTTGCACCACAGCAAACACACTAATTCGACTAAAGTATTGAGCGAACAGTTACGGGGAAATCAGAAGTAGCAACTCTCTTAGTGTAGAGCTTCTTAAACAACTTGGGTCTGGGTGGACCGGCGGTTCCTAATCAGTAGAACACCGACATGTGGAGCAACTTTGGGAGGTTTTGAATGAGAGAGACACAGATGTCGATATTTGGTCAGTGGCGCCTATCAACATGGAACATGATGTACTGAGTGTCGGAGCAGACGTGGCGATCATGAATAATTGGCTACTTTCAGACCAAGTAAAATTAATTAAAATTAGTAAGTGCTATTCAGAAATTCTCTTTCTTTAAGAAAAAAACAGTGTGATTATCCTCATCCATTCAAATAACTCATAATCAAGACAGCTCAAGTCACCGCCAATTTGGATGGTAATTATACAGTGTGCTGAAACGGTGTAACATGCACGATGACCAGCCAATCATATGCAAAGTCATCGATCGTACTCACTGAACCACACAGCCCATGCACATTTCTCCCACGTCCTCCTGGCATTTTGGAATATAGCATCGAGTTACAAGAAGAACTATAACAACGAAATTAGAAAGCTGGTTACAAAAGTGGGCCTATTAGATCATTATTATGTGCAAGCATGGTATCATACAAATATTTAACAAAGAAGGCAGTTAAAACAAAGGAATAGGTTATATAGCCAAAATAAATCAAGTAATCAGCATCATATTTTGTCCACGTCAGTGAAGGGAAAGAAGTGTCGCGAGATGTGCCTGTCACACAGCCGAGGTAGATGGAAGGGCAGGAGCAGCAGCCGTCGAGCCAACCAAAGCGGCCACAGATCAGTAAGGGGAGACTGACCACACCCCAAACTATATGGACGCAACACGCATCCTGCCACGGAGTCGGAAACGGCCACTGGCGGAACACGAGACGTGCCCAGTGACGAATAGATCTCAATTCGAGAGAACCAGGCAAGCCAATTGGACAGAAAGGCTGTCAGAAGCAGCAATCGCAGGTGAAGTGGTCGCGGGTATGGGCGCTCCACCTCTTCCCCACATTCGACATCTTGACGAGGAATAGGGACGTGGTAAAAGGGAGAAAGAGCATCAAATGGGGTCATCCAGAGAACACCTGTCAGGTGAGCTTTGGGTTCCGTGGAGTGTCGCATCAGATTGAGCAGCGGTGATAGTGGTGATAAAGCCTGCAATTACAAACAGTGCATTCCCTGGTCATTTGCTCACCATTTAAACATCCAACGTTTGGCCATTTGAAGATATCAGTAAGCTGCATATTTGCATTTAGGTCCTTCAAGCTACACACCAACAGGATGGCAATGTCAACATGCACACCAAACTGACTGCATTCTGTGTGTCAAACCGCAAAGGAAATCGAGCAGTTGAGTAAAAGCAACATTCACCATAATCTCAGGTTTAAGGATTCGTTTGCACTAACATCGACACTGCAAGTTACAGTTTTGACATTAACTTGCAAATTCGTGAGTGATGTACATAGTGAGCGTAAAAATTACGTTAAGAACGACAACACTTACCATGGGATCGAGAAGAATGAGATTTTGCATTTGGCGGTTTCGTTTGCAAAAATTGCATACATCCAAAAGCAGACGCCCGACACTCGCTCGCCATGGCGGGATACGATTCTCATGCACAGACACGTCAACTTTCTGCTGTGGAGCGAATCGGAAAGGCCAGCGTGTTTGACGGAACAACCATTGCCACTGTGGTTGCAGTTTCATGTTGGTTTGTTGCAGACACTGGATGTACTCACGTGTAATATGTGCATTGTCGACTAACCCATACGAACCTGGCTCTCCCGGCCTGTATGTTCCTGATGACCTCGATGACTGCGTGTCTTCAGGAACATTGACCGGATCATGAGACGCAACTTCCTCAACTTCAACTTCAGCTATGTTGCTTTGCACTTTACCAGCACCATCAACGTCACATGTCTTATGGTCTTCCAAAAGTGAATCTGCTTCTCCACTAGATTCCAACGCTTCCACATCCACCTTCACTTCCACCTCATTTGCGCCTACTTGTTTCAGTGTCTCCGCCTCATTATTTTCTGCCATCGCTTGCACAGCCGCTTCTTCATCTTTCACTTCTTCTTCTTTTTCGTCAACTCTACATTCTATGTCAACGTCACTATCCTCCACTTCAAAACTATTGTTGAAGAGGAAAGCCATATCATGGCCACTTACACTGTTTTCCACAGATGTGCTCCCAGTCCGATTTCGTCGTCGTCGTCGCTCAAAAAACAGCCCACGCAAGATGCCCCAAATACCTCCTCCGTCCACATGAGACCACGGAAAAAAGTCATCTGTCAATATGGGCCTTTTTAACACTTTCTCAGAAAACAAAAACGAGAGGTCGAAGGAGGATGTCGCACTCGACTGATATGAATAATGCTCACGATGAAAAAAATTGTACCACGGACATAGACTTGACGTTTGTCTCGATTCAGGATGGCTTTGCATCGAGTGCAGCACATCGCCTGTGAAAAGCGTGTTGTAAAGATCCTTAAATTCTAGCTGATGGGAATGATTACCAACGACCTCGCAAAAGTAGAACACCGATGGGGCATTGTCATTGGGCGTATCTTCAGGATGCCAAATTAGAATACGCTGAGTCTCAATGTACCCTAGCGTGTATTCGCGTTCAAATGGCGGCGAAACTTGAGATTCATTCTCTGAATCAACGGAGCATCGCACATTTGCAAATGACAGAACATTTTCGTCAAACACAGCTGCACCATCATCAACGTTTTCCCTGTCATCTTTCTGTAAAAGGAAACACAGTAGAATCACTTGATGGGAAGACACTTCACCGACTTTTTACCGAGCTAGGAACTCACGAACTAGTATGAAACGAAACACTAATGGCAAGTCGACTTGGTAACTGGCTGAAAATTAAATTGTCTGAACAATTAAATTGTCTGAACAATCGTTCTGCGGCAGTAGTGTGCCTCAGGAGAACAGAGCTGGCCGCCAATAAGTAGTCCACGTTACTTATGGTGTGGGCTCCAGCATGTAGTCCTGAATTTCGTCAGGGCCACGGAATTAAC